AGTAGTAATTACAGCAACTTAATCAAAATGAAATATATACCACTTTATTCTCTCTTATATATTGCCTGCTTCCAAGGAATAAATTAAAACTGTGTAACATTTGGTCTACTACTCATGATTTGTCAAATTTTGAATCTTTGACAGTATTTATATAAACAAATCGGTTTCTTTTGTTAAAGTTGAATTAATTTTATAACTTTATTATAATCAAAAGATGTTTTCCAAGAAATAATTTCTTTATTATTAAGTTTAGATTATCTTTCCTGATTATTCAAGGAAATAATAAAAATCTTTTCTTACATCCTATAGAAAAGTTAAAAAAGGAAAATAAAAGAAAATTGATATTTTGGAGCCTAGTATTTTAACTTCTTGCATACTAAATGTCTCAAAAAGAACTAACCATAACATGAAGTAATGTCTTATATCAAATATTTGGGAAGTTTTCTTTTGGCAAAGTCCTCTTCTATTTTTTTTTGTTTGAACTTTATAAAGTATGATCGAAGATGAATGATGTGACTAAGAAAAAAATAACAGAACATTTATTGTTTTTTATTCCCAGTGCTTATCAATCTAATTGACAGAAAAAGAAAAGAATTTCAAAAAATGTATTTCTTTAGTCAATCAATTAGCTGGATCTTCAAACTTGATTAGAAATAATTTCCCCCTACAAAAGCAACAAGCTTAGATGAAACAAATTTGTTTTCCTCAGATCCCAATGCTACTCAATAACTTTAATGAAATTGGCTTTTTTCTTTCTTAGTCACTTAACAATAAACCAACTTCTTTTCATCCAGAAATGGATGGCTAGTGTTGATTTCATCTTGTTTAGAATAAAATTGATCACTAATTTGTATAAAGTTGTATCCACTTTTATTAAATATTAATTAAAGATGTAGTAAATGTGCATTAGTAAAGTGGAAAACACAACATTAAAAGATGACTGAGGAAATCAGAGGCCTCCCCAGGGAAACATGTGTTTGTAGACGGCCGCCTAATTGAGTTTCTTAACACAAAAGGATACCAAAACACAAGTGTATTGAAAAACTATTATCTTACTATTTGTTGAGAGTCTTCACTTCATAAGGACACTGATGCTATTAAGAAAATTAGATATCTTTGTGAAGAAAGGCTGGATACAAATTGAATGTGGCTTGTTATGCGGTACTTTTACAAATGAAAACTTATTGGCTCTTAAAAGCTGATGAAGCGATACCAGAATTGGATGAGTCCCAAATGGAATTAGCTTTGAGGTGGAGATAAAGACAAGACAGACGTATTCTTTAAGATATCAGTTGGATACGATTGGTTTCGACTTTTATTGGTCATAAAGCAAATAAGACATGTTTTTCTCTGTCTTTTACGCTAAAAATAAAAAGAGTAAATTGAATAAATGTTCTCGTGAAATGTTTTTTATGGTCAATTTCGTATGGTAAAAAAATATGTCATGTTTGTGGGGTAGTTACCATATAATAAATTTAATAAAAAAAATCTGTATGACCATATAAATGGTACATAGAGAAATTCAGTCAGACATTAATATAGCATGACTAAAATATACTGTGAAAACAACATTGACACCAATTTATATTTGTTGGATCTGTTACAATGAGTATACAATGCTCTTTTATATGTTGAGTTTAATAGGACAAACTCACTTACATTTTTCCTTCTTTGACAAGACATAAGCCTATCAAAATTTGGGTCCTAAGAAAAATATGACTTTTTATTACATAAAGTATAACATTTATAAGTACTTTCCAGTGTAGATTAAATCCTTGGCTATCTAAAACACAAAGTCTTTAAAATTGGTACTTGCTGGTCTCGTTAATGCATGCAGCTTTTAGGTGAAAAAGCCAACATTGGTTTACTCAAGAGTCATTTGGTCCGATGACATTTTTTCCTGCAGTCTGTTGCTTTGTGATCTTTTACTTTAAAAAATCTGACTCAGCAAAGCAGATAATATTTTATGTCATTAACATGCTATGGTCCTGAATATGCATGTTATATTTGTCACTGGACATAAATAATCCATTAAGTATAAATTATAAATCAATATTTCAAATTTGGTTAATATAAACCAAATACTTTTTCGGATGACCGTAAATGTTTGAAATTGCAGCTCTTATTGTAACTACATGTATTTCAATCATGGCATAAGAAGCTCTTTATTTCTTTTCCGATATTACAGAAAAATTGAGACTTGCCATAAAACTCAGATCTCTGAAGAATGCCTTGAAGAACTATGTCTGGCTTGGTCTTAAATCTTTAAAAAATATCTTTGAACAGGATCTAGAATGAAACAAGACTATAGTCAATTGCAGCTTTATCACACTAAACAAAGGAAATGATAATAACCTTTAAATTCTAGAAATTATATTTTTATGACAAGGAAATGACTTTATGTGAAAATAAGGTAGATTGGTCTGGGAATCAATTTATTAAATATGCTGTAATTTCCTTAAGTTTTCAGAATTTTTCTATCTGAATGGTTTCCTTGCCAAGATCAAAGTCTGCAGATTATGTTTAGTCTTCTCAAAGGCATTATCAATACCTGTTTTGTTCTTAGAAACAATTTTCTGTTTCACTTAAAATGATTTATATCACCTTAAATTACTGATGGTAATGTTATAATTGTGATTCCAATTTTACAAAAGACATTCATCTGTTATTTCCAGACAGGCATATCAGACTTGCTTTAATGCACTGATCTTCATCATTTTTTCTTCGTTTAACAAAGAGTTTTATTTTAGATAGTCTGAGTTGAATTTCTGGGATTTGGGTCCTTCCGAATGGCAAGAAAATATTGAAATAACAGAACACTGGTACTATTTTTCATGCCATATGTATATTTTACATCTTGTTACACAAACAAATGTGTACAAGTGTTTCTAAAATATTATGTACTGATAAAAATTTTAGAAACATGACTGGATAATGCCGTTTTGACACCTTTAGGGTTTTAATATGGCAAAATTACTTGAACTACATCAACTATATCATTTCTCTTACCAAAATTTGTACCATTACTTATAAATATTGATATTTACATCATTTAACTTGTAATTTTGCTCTGATGATTAACTATTGTAAATTCAACAAGAAAACAATAAAGAATAGCAAACGTTTGGAGTGGAACAGTTAAAAAGTATGAATTAACCATAAATGTAGCTCCATAAGGGAGGGGCACCCTGGCCCCCTCCCCCTAAATCTGCCTTTGTTGATAGCTTGGCAAAATGTTGAAAATCTGCATCAATAGATTTCTGGTCCCCTCATTTTTGCATTTGAAAGGTATGTGTATATTTATGGTCAGGAAGATAGAGATTTTTCTTAACTATTTTTACCATGGTTTGAATGTTTTTAATAATGTATGTCCCAGCTTAATATTCACAATTTTTTTTCTTTCAACTACAACAGTCTTCATGTGTTCTTGTAGATTTTTATTTGTTTGTTTTGGTGTGTAAAATGTTGGTTATCTATCCTATCCTCAGTTTGACATAATGCCCTTATGGCCTCTCTGAATACACATCTTTTGTGTAATACTGTACCTTGACTTAAAATTATCATATTATAAACTTTTACACCTACCCAGGGTGGAAAGGAATCTTGTTATTGACCAAACCAACAAGTACTATGCACGTCTCTTAATCCTCTGGTTATTGACAAAAGCAACAAGTACTATGCACTTTTATGTATGCAGTCATTTACTGTAACAATCAAGTAATTAAGCATTTAGGAGTTAACATAGTTGTAATAAGTCAATTTTAAGAATGTTGGAATATTGTTTATAGAAATTATACATTCCCCAAATATGTTTATTTGCATTTCTGAGTTCTCATTTCACAATAAGTGGGCATGTCATAAATATCTACTAGTGAAAGAAAATGATGTCTAGATGTTATCCTTTTATATTGGACCAAAAAATTATCAAAAACTTGAAAATTTGGTTTTGAAATATGATTTGATAAATAAATGGATTTTATTTCAGAAATCTTACATTCTGAGTGATACTGATTTGTTTAACTTTTAGGTGTATGGTGCATGTATTTTGGACTTTGAAAAGATTTCAAGTGTTTTAAAATAGACATTATATAAGTTTAGTTTAATTATTGAACTTTTATCTGAAATGAAGAAAAATTTGATTTTAAGCCAAGAATTTGGTATTTGTTTGTTTTTATCATGTTTATTTCATACACATAGCATGTTATCTATAAAGATATTTGAACACTTCATACTAGTACAATCAAGTACCATGGAGTAAATACTTAAATTTGATCAAGATATCATTTCAATAGTTTCAGATGGAAAAAACTAATTAGTTATTAGTTTATTAGAAATTGTGACATAACTGTTAGGCCCAAAAAATTCTTTTAAATTGTTGTTTCCCTTGCCCCTTGCGACAAGATTTTTGTGCCATAGAAGGTCTACCCGTAAGTTATTATTGACACCTTTTGCAGTGAACCATGACAAATTTGAGGGTCAATGTGTAAGAAAATATTTAAAAAAAAAATGCTACCTCCTACGCTATTTTTCTTTAAAAGGAAATCGTAAATACTCATATCTTTTTGTTTGGCATTCCAGGAGTTGCATGATATCAATCTTGTATGGAAATTTCTGCGAAATGCTGAGCCTTTACTTTATGTCTGAATTTGAACTACTGAAAAGTTATAACTGATAGTTATCAAAGTTTCCTGGATTTCCCACGTAAATCTAGTAACGCCACCATATTCTGTGCCTTGATACCGAGTCAGACTATGTTGACCATTATTTGTTTATTGTTGTTTGTCCTTCTTTGTACCCGTAACCGTACCTCAAAATTTTCTGAGGAGTCAAGTGCTGCTGGTTGGTGTGGTTTGTTGTACTGTTTAATTCCTGTTATCTTGTTTATGTATACTATCATGAAATGTAAAATATTTGTGTAGAAAATTGTAATATCTTTGTGACATTTTTGATACAACCCAAAAAGTATTATTACATGAATATTTATCCTTAACTATACTTACACCTCTACATTAACACCAATGCATCTACGGAAAGCCAAGCTGATGTTTTTCTATGTAAGATACCCAAGCTCAGCCATACTGAAGGTGTATTTCCCTGATGTCAAGTTCAACAAGAATAATACAGCACAGCTTGTCAAATGGTTTAGCAACTTTAGGTAAGTAATTTTACATTTGATTTTTTATAACACTCAGTACACAGAACATGAAAGGTATACATATGTAGTACTTTAGTAACTTACCATCATACCAGTAAAAAATTGCCACTTGCCTGCTTTCCGTAAGTCTGTAAGTAAGTAAACAAGAGGCGAAAGATACCAAGAGAACATTCCTTGGTACCTTTGGTAAAACACTCCTGATTGTTTAATTTTTCTTATCTTTTATTTTCACTGGCTAACTATCAAGATGGGCTATTAAGCTCCTATGGCTGGCCCTGAGAGACTGCAGAATAACAATTGGAATAATATACATGCAAGGATATATTTCTATTTTCTTTTCTTTCAAACTATTGCAAGAGGTACATACATACAAGATTATACAGACAATTATTTATATTTTGTTTTTCACAAAAAAAGAGAGCAAAAATCATTTACCATAGCAATGTATGGTCAAAATGTTTCTTTCTTTGTGTATCTATGTAACTTTATTGATTTCTTGTGATTTTATAATGATATTATGTATATATTTCTCTCTTATTAGAGAAATATAGAAGTCTTTTTTCATACTTTCTTATTTACATACTATACATAATATTATATTACATTTTATTCTTTAGTCTTGGTCATTACAAATAATTTTGTCAGTTCTATGGCAATTTTCCAATTCTAAAAAGTACCAAGCTGCCATGGATCTGTTGATTTTGTACTCTTAGAATTTGATATTTTTTTTTGGCAAATATATTTCAAGAAACTATTAATTATGGCAGAATTGATAAGAATTGATAGGTGTTAAGGGAACACCAGTCCTTCCTTAATGATAGTTGTTCATTTATGTTTCTGGCTGCATTCTCATCAATATTTTCACTTTATTGTCTTTGAAATATTCACTTCAAACAAATTTTGAAATTTTGTTATTGAATTATGTATTCCAAGACACAATAGCTAGAACATTAGGCAATACATTTCTTTATTTCATAATAGCTTTTCATATGGCTTCCTGTTGTGAACTAGCAGTTTATATAGAATTTGCTGAAAAAAAGGAAAAGAAAATGGCCATTTCTAAGCCATTTGGTGATTAATTTTAACAATTCATTTTTAGAATTAGGTGCCTTGGTGAAGGGGTTTAATTATTTTATGACAATCTTATGTCTGTCTTGGGATTTCTCATCAACATGATATGCTTTTCTATAGAAGTGATCAGAAATCCATTAGACCCTGAAGTAAGTTATTACACTAAAAAAAAAGGGAAAAAGATCAAAATGTCAAGATGAAAAGAAGCGTCTGTTGAGCTTTAATAGTAGAGCTCCATATAGTTACAAATTTATAACAAATAACCTTTTCCTTTTAAATGACTGCAACAATTAGTATAAATAAGAATATCATGAAAAAAGTGGAATCTTAAGTTTTGAATTTAGTTTCCACTTAATTATAAGTATTTATAGCCATGTATAGGAGACATCGAGGAAAATTAGATTTCGTTTATTCAAGGATTGAAACTTTTAAACCATTTTTTTTCAGAATATTTTTTCAAAATGATTATTATTCAATAACATTAATGGTACCAATTTTAAAGCACCAGATGCACATTTCGACAATTAATTTATGCGATATGATTTATAAATTTACAATGAAAAGTAGTATATATGACATTTATATAACCCTTTGTTTCAATTTTATTAATGTATTGTTAAAAAATTGCAAAATCAACAATATGTCAGAATTATACATCAATACCTATTTCTTTTTTGTTTCAATAAGTGTTTATAAGTAAATTTTAATCTATTTAAGAGGTACTTCCTTTCTCAAGTGATTTTACTTTTCAAGTCCTCTCAAGGAAGAAACACTTTTCCGATTTCATAAGTATTCTCTCTTTATTTTCACAGAATCATAAAACACCCACAAAAGATTTAATATTTGAGACCTTCAGAAGAAATCACTAAAATCAACATTATTTCCTAGAAAATAAATTTATGATATTTAAGTATAGTAAGATAACTATCTTGATTTCTTAAGGGAAAACAAAGTATCTTAACTTATCATTTCCTTATTGAAAAAAGGACGGAAATAAATGATTCATAAGAAAGAAATGTAAAGGCATGAAGAAGAACGAAAGTAAGAGTTTCAAGAAAAACTAAAAGATTTCATAGTGTGGTACTATTCCTTTATGGAAAATCAAAAACTGCTTTATATCTTACAGATTTAGAAGTTATCTTAATTTATAAATAGGTATGCTAGCTTTTTAGCCTAAAATGTTGTGTAAGAATGTTTCATTGAAATATGTTTTTCAAAGTTTAAACTTCTGAAAATAAGTTTCTGATGAAATTTAGAATCCTTGTCCATTGTGTCCCCTTATATTGGACAATGAGTAGTTTTTCTTCAGTTCTATTATTTTATTTGAAAAAAAACCTCTGCATTAGGCTCGACAGTTGTGAAAAATATTGAAACTGATAAGATAGAGAAAAATATTTACATCTTTCCACAAGAATTTCACAGACCTTTTCTAGAGTGTATTTCATATATTTTGATACAGCGTCTAAATGCTCTAGTTTTATGAAAGGTTAACACACTGTTAGATTAAATCTGCTGAAAAATTTGGTTGTTTATTATATAAATAAAGTTTTCTTCTGACACAAGTTTACATTGTTTCCAATTTATGCAATGAAATATGTTGCAAATGACACAATGACAAGGAGAGGATAGGTAAACAGCCAGAAATGATAAATAAAGACAATAAAAACATCTGGCTTATTGAAAACTATGTTGACATTCAAGTTTGGTATAAAGAAATATCAAAATTGTTGCTGTTTGATCTAAAAACATGATAGTATTCTACCTTTTAATAGTTTTTAATTTTTTGACATTTTTCCCATCTTTAGCAGAGGATTTTTGTTGCATTTGTTCTGATTAATAAGAATTCTCACAGGAACATATTTGAAAATCTGTGAATCTTTCAGGAAATATCACACAGAACAGGAATGAAAGTAAATCCTGTGACTGTTGAATGTGGGAATTGGACACTAAAGATTTTCTCTTTGTCTTCATTGAGTAAATACTTCCCTAATATGACATTTAAAATAAGCTTAAAAGGCCATCTGTATGGATATTACTTTTCTCTATTTAATATCTTATCAGCAATTACAGAATGGTTTAGTTTTGCCGTCACCATTTGGCTGTCACTTTCTGAAACCTTGGAGAAAAAATGATGATTATTGTCACTCACAAAAGGCTGTGATACTTAGAAATTAGATCATTATAGTTGGACCAAAAGGAGAAAATTGGTCGTTCTCACAAGAAATTAACAGAGTTTGAAGGATGAAAATTGCAAAGGAAATTTTATGCACAATTTATTAATAATCAGACCTATCATCACAGGCAATTTTGTAATTTATGTGTGTCGCTTGTAAATTGATGTCATTAGGAAGATAGTCGTCATAAAATTTCTCATAAACTGACAAACAGGAATTTTTATAAGGTTTAATCATCAAGATCTGCCTTCAAATCTAGGCTTCTGTCATATGTCTATATTCCACCATTATTAATATATTTTGTTCTTTTTTTTTTATTACATAATGTCTTAATTTTCTAATTTTTAGGAGAGTGTCAAATTAAATGCTAGTTAGTCATTTAATGTAAAGGTCATAGATAGTTTTGTGAAATTAAAAAAAAAGAAGACTTATCAGAATAAAGAAATCAAGTTTTGAATCCAGAAAATTAACACATCTTTATGATAATAATAATTGCTATATCAGATTGATTACCTTAAACAGGTGCATAGCACAGAAATATTTCCATCTAAGATATTAATATCTTTTCTTCTTTGTTCCAACAAAATATATGTTAAAATTGACACCAGGAACTAAACATATAATAAGGATAAAAGACTTTTTGTGTCAGTCATCTAGATTAGAAAAATAGTCATTACATCTGACTTGTGGGAAAAATTAGTTACTGAGAAGCAAGGTTGTCAGATTTGATAATGAAGATTCATAATGTCTTAACTTGTATAATTGTAGTTATTTACTGGATGGAATTACCTCCCTCTAATGAAATTAAAGTAACTTATAATTCTAAAATAAAGTTTAATAATATAGTCTTAGTATGAGTATCAGCAATCCTCCATTAAAAAAAATATAATTTCCATCTTTTTATGAAAATTCCTATAATCATTTATATATTTGTCTAAAGTGTTTTCAATCATTTGACATTTATGGCAAAATTTCTATTCTTATTAAGATAATATTCTCAATTCTAGTGTAATTTGCTTTAATGGTAGCAATTTATTGGGCATAGAATAAAATAAAGACAAAGTATTTAATAAAGTGCTAATGAGAATAGCTCTGATTACTGGGCGTTTATCTGATACATTATCCATTGTCAAGAAGCTGTTATTTAAGAAAACCACTGATGAACAAGAAAATTACATATTGCTTGACATTCACTAATCGCTATAGAAATCTTTATTGAAAGATAATGTGGGCTGATGTCGCTATGTTCCTGTCTTCTGTCAGACTTTGTGACGGCTTTACACGAACAGCAATCCCCATTTGTACTCTGTTATTAGATTATTCAGAGATTGAAAGAGGTGTTTAAATGCTTTCTTTTCTCAATCGATCTTAATAGATAGTTCCATTTCCCCATTCCCCGCCCAAGAGGATGTAAAATCTTCGTGCCATCTAATTATGTGGTGATAAAATAATAAATCATGACAATTTATATTAAATAGGATCTTCCCATTTAAGGTTAGAACTAAGTTTGTTTATATTGATTTGATGCCAGCATTCTGATAGGAGATTATTTCTAAGAAAGACTTTGATTTAAAAATTATTAGTCAAGGCTTAGAAATTGAATTCAATTCCCTATTGACTTAGAATCTAGGAAAGAAGATGGTTCAACCTGATTATTGTAAATGTAATAAATCAAGTTCTAAGAGCACATTTTACTATCTTTCATTCTCTGCTAAAAGAGCTTATTTATTTTGTTTTAGATAAACTGTTAAAAACACTTGGCCTACAAAAGTGAAATTTGGGAAAACTTTGAACATATGGTTTATAGTTCATTATAAGTAATATATCAATATAATTGTAATTGTTTTCTATTGCATTAAGGTATGTTTCAAAACAAATCCATGAATTCTTATCCCATTGGTAAATATTGACATTTCTTGTGAATTCTTACATTAAATTGGCAAAGATTGAAACTGATATCTTGTAGCAGAAATATAATATTAAGTCTTTTTGTCAATATGATTTTGTTGTAACAATATTCTGATAATGACACAGGGATTATGTCTCCATTCCTTTTCATAGAAAATTAGTTGGATCAGTATAGAAAGAGAAATTAATCTTCTCCAAGATTGACTTTATACCTGGTAAAAATCTTAATTAACCTCGGATATCTTTGAGGGTATTGATTCAGAAATAAGTCGGGTATTTGTCAGTTCCTTTCCAACATAGAACAGAATATTGGTAATTAAAGAACAAATACTTAACTAAATCCTGGTTGTTAAGAGCTTTTACTTGATCGTTGGGGCTTATCTTTTCACCACAATTTTCTGTTATTAAATGTTTTCTGATCCTTGATAGAAAAAATGTTTCATTGTTTCTTTGTCAAAGACTTTTAGCTTCATCAGGACATGCTTTGATTACAACTTCTTAAATAGCATTCAATAAGTACATTATTTATTCATATATATTAAACATACTCTATAGCTTTTATTTATTGAAGAAGCTAATTAAGCTAGACTTTACATAGATGAGCTGCCATTGATTATGGCATCAATAGCAAATAAACTTAATAAATATAAGTATAAAATAAAATATGTACAGCCGATTCAATCTGAGACTACTATAACATGTGTTATAGTAGTCTCAGATTCAATATAGTATATCCAATGTTTAAACCTTTGTTTTAAAGGCTGCAGTCTTTACATTGCCTTTACCTGAATAAACATTATGATTCAAGTTATGTAAATATAAAAAATGGTAGTTTGCTATCATCTAATGTCACTAGGAACTTTAAAAACAGCTTTTTTTTTTAATATACATTTCAGTTGCACTGGACAACTACAGATTGAATAGTCTTTTAGCACAAACAATAGTACATGTTTTACAGTGTAGATATTTCCATCTTTACATTTATTTTTGAGTCCTTAACATTTCCAAGCAAGTCTGAAGGTCTCAATGTCCATGAAATTAAAAAAAAAGTTGTATATTTTGTGACTAGTTAGTTAGTTTGCATACTGTCAGCATTAAGCATATGGTCATGAACAAATCAAGGATGTAAAAAACATTTATGGTATATATATGCATATTTCAGGTGAAATAAAAAAAATTGAAAAGCTTATATACAATAGATAGATATAGATGTTGCTATATTTTGATATACTCACTGCAAAATTGAACATTTTCTATTTCAGAGAGTTTTACTATATCCAGATGGAAAAGTATGCCAGACAGGCCATTGCTGAAGGAGTCAAACATGCAGAGGACCTTGTTGTGTCGACAGATGCTGAGTTATACAGAATCTTGAACTTGCATTACAATAGAAATAACCAGATAGAGGTGGGTCCTTTTTTAATACAAAATCAAAAGCTATAAAATTTGATGATTTTTTTCAATATGAAGGACTCTAGCTGACTCTGGTAATGCATCAAGGTAGCCATTTGATTATTGCTATACTCAGCCACCAAGAAAAGTCAGATTATTTGCCTTGCATGATGACTGAAATGAAGAATAAATGTAACAAATACACTTCCTTATGTATAATTAATTAGATAATTGCTGTCATACCCATAGCATGAAGCTGTTTTAAAGCTTGTTTTTGTAGTAAAAGGATATTTATCACTTGTTTATATGGACTTTCACAATACACTGTTGCAGTAATAAAGTAAACCATTATTTGCTTTTTCTGTCATCTGTCTCATAATGGCTGCCAAGTTATAATTTATTGTTTATGAGTTCCATGTATTCTAACTCAATTAATTTGTATTTTCACTTGGTTCTTATTAATTTTTTCTAGTTCTCTTTGCATAGCCATTCTTTCAAATGGCATAAAATGTCTCATTCATAATTGATATCGGAAAATCCCTTGACACCTACTTTTGGAGTCGGAAAAGTCGAATGAAGACATTTCATATTGTTCATGGGACTCTTTTCAATATCTGAATTATTGCAAAGACATACAATTAACTAATGTATGTTTACTTCAAGTTTATTAATATCGCTATCTAGGTTCTTTCGGGAATTACTTTTCAATCTACTTGAAAGAGGAAATGCGGCAGAATATTTGTGATGATTGTATAGGGTGCATCTTCTTTGACGATACATTAATTTTCCTCGTTTCTAGTTCCCTAAGGGTCTGTGATGATCGACTACAATGGTGTTACTCTAGATGAGAAAATGTGATATTTCTCAGACAATGAGCACAAAAAGATTTTCGTGTTGTGATATGTAACCATAAATCTTTTAATTCAAAAGAAAGTTGATGTGTAATCACATTTTTATGAAGTTGGACAATCTTTTTTATCTGTCCTCGGTGACAAGTCAGTAGGATAGAGAAGTGCATACTACTTTTCTCAATTCCTCGACACAGTTATCATTACAGAGAAGACTATGATACCATAGAGCATTCCTATACATGTTATTATCTCAAAGGATTCAGATAGAGCAATCATATCTAAAAAACTGGTAGCACTTAGTAATGTTCCAAGAGAGTCATAAACTTGGAACTCCTGACACTTAAATCATTGGTTCCTCTAATTACCATTGTTGCCAGGTTGCAAACCTTATTATCATTCAGTGCTAATAGATGTTTGATATTTCAAAAGGCTTTTTGCATATATTTTTTTTATCATTTTATTTGTGAAATAGAATTATTAATCCACCCTTGACATTGGAATTTTCGGGAAAATATTTTTATTAGCTATATTCTATTACATGTAATCATTTTTATTTTTGGATTGTTAAAATTGTTCAAAGGTTTGTAAATTTCAGTGAGCAATAATAAACTTCTGAACAATACTTTTACCAGACTAAATTTTGAAGTCACTTAATATTGACGTGAATATTGAACAAGTTAGATGTTGTGTTTACATCAATACAACAGCAACTCAACAATACACCAAAAAAACAACATCTAAAGGTCAACATACAGTCTTCAACAAATTTACTTCAATGGAACAACAGAAGTTTTATTGGATAGAAGGATAGTTGACTATAAAAAAACTTTTGTAATGCTTAACTGAGGTCCCATAAGACTTACCTTTTACTAAAATGAAAAAGAAAAAGCTAAGTTTAGATGTACTGCATTTTCTGAATGTGAAGTATAGTATAATATTTTAAATTAATGTATTAAGATAAAATAACCCTGCACACCTGTGCAGATTAATATGCTGATAATATTAAAGATGATAGTGTGGTCCTTTACAATTTTTAAGAAGTCGATACATAGAATAAGTCCAATCTATAGATAATAATAGTAGGATCTTCTTCACAAAACTACATCAATACAATACATTTTTAAATTATGTGTAACATGACCAATTATTTAAAGATTATAAGTTGCTTTCCTTTAGTTTTCAATTGATTTCCGCATATCAGATTTACCCTTATATGTAACATATGTCTTCTGTATCATCTAAAAGATATATTAACAATGTTCTACTCAGGACAATAACTTTTCATATTGATATTAAAGATTTCCAACAAGTGTATGTTTAATTGATAATTCCATTGTAAATTGCAATTGACTAAATACTAGTAATAACTTACAAAAAAGATCTGTACAATATCTACATCCATCTTTTGGAAAAAAAAAAGAGTTGAGTTAAAGTTTGCAAAATGTAGTGGGAACCTTAAAGTCATAAAATTCATTATGAACAACTATGAATTATATTGAGTACTGAAAATTTTGAAATTATTGCGATGTTTTTATTAATGAAAAAATGCAACAGGGTTTTAAGCGCAATAATTTAAACTCGCATTTTGGATTTTTTTATATGAATGAAGCAGAATTTTTCTCAGTATCGCAAAATGATAATCCTATTTTGTACTTTAATGACATCATCGCAATGATAAATGCATGAAATAATTTCTGAATTTACAATAATTTACAGTGTGGACTGATCTTTAAAATCATTGGACCTTTGGTATTGTCAGCAATAAAACCCCTTTCTTTCTGTTTCATATTCCCTCAGATTACATCTTGAGGTTCATTACTGTACAATTTGCTATGGTTATTTGAACAACAGTGAACTTTAGCTTATGTTACTAAAGTGCAACATTAAAAGTAAATTGGCTCTTAATATCATTAGTAGGTAGCATACATTAGCACCGTTTTGTGTTGCTCTAAGACAACACAGTATGGAGATTTTTGTCAGAAATTGGAAAAAGATAATACAGCATTTCATTAAGATAAAAATCACAGTTGAAATTTTTTTTTTCATATCACAGTTGTTTCAATTAGCTTTTGAAAGATCTTGTCATAGCCACTACTGGGTAATTTCTAAGTAATTAAAGTAGTTACTTAGTAATTAAAGAATAATTTGCATCAAATTTTAATAATCTTTTTAAAGAGTTATACTTCTTTATATCAAGATGAAACATTTGCTTTTAAATCATTTGATCTTTCATGAAAAAGGAAAGTAACTTATCCATAACAGGGGTTTTGAGGTCAAAGTTCACTTTTTAGAGTTTACTCAGTCCATATATATATGTAATTGCAATTGTCAACGTGTATTTGTTCCGCCTAACAGAAGTTCCCCTGGAAACTTTGTTATAAACAATGTCATAATATCTGTTCCTGTTGGAACAAATATTCCATACCCTTTATTCCGTAAGGAACAAATACTGTAATATTTGTTCCAATGGAAATAATATTACAGAATATTTCTTCCACTTGGAACTTATATTATGAAGGAACTTCTATTTCGTGACACATGTACTGGTAAAAGAACATTTAAATTATTTAAAGAATGAGTTTTAGTGGTATAAAAGCATAACCATAAATCAGACAATTAATTATTCCTATTTTCATACTATAAGTTTTACAACACAAACATTTTTTTTTAATTGTTAACTTTAAATTCTATGTTATAGTTTCATTAACATTATTAACGACAGAAAACCATTTAATTTCAGATTTGAATTTATTCGGAGAGAAATTAAAACCTAAAATTATGCATCTGGATAGCATATTTTTCATCTTTATAAAAAAAAAATAGAAAAATTCTAATCTACAGTGATGATAAAATGCTTTCAAATGAATTCATGTATGGCATTTTGTTTGTTTAGTCTTGGAATTTTTTGCCATTTTCTTTGTTCCTTAATAAATGTGATCTTGTTAAGTGGTACAAAATTGTTGCTATAACCAAACGAAATAAAAAATGCTTTTTATGATCAGATAATTTCTATGACTTTTAATAGGGAATTAAACTGGTAAGAAAAGATGCTACTTTTCAAGAGACATTAATATTACATTAAATCTATACATGTGCACTGATGCATTTAAACTCACCACACTTCTTTAAAATTAATGACATTTTAAAACCGTCCCATTTTAAATTGTTATAGCTAAGGTGCAACGTGCCATGTTAAATAACTCTATACAATTCTTTATATAGGAAAACCATACTGAATTCATCCCATATAATTATGAAGATTACATCTTTGGTTATATTACATTTAATTTCAGTCTTTCATTTCTATATACCCACATTAAGGTTTAATCTCTTCACATAATCAGCTGCTGGCCCATGAAATTGACATGAAATGAACATATCTAGAACCTGTTGTATGGGACTTAAGTTGCTTCTTGCCTTATTTTCTAAAGTCATTCAGTATTGACTTCTTTTGTGACTTTCAATAATAGTTCTATCATCTCCCATACTGACTGTCCTTCTCTTATAATAACCTGAAAGAAGTAAATTCTGCATGTTACAAGAAAAAGTCGTTAAAGCCATGAAAAGGATTGAGTGTAATTTATTTGTGCTTTCTGAAGCGTCTGAAGATGATTATCTCTTGTTTCCTATTAAGAGAGGTTAAAAAATCTTATTCTTTTGCACTAGGCCTTTCACATTCTATCTAATACTTTTGTGAGACATATTATTTTTGTGTTTAAAAGGTTAAGTTTTTTTGCTTATCTATCAAGAAGTAATTTGACCATCCATTACTTGTTTGTCAGATTCCCCATCTTTATTCAAGTTGTTATTGAGCGCCACCTATCACATCAATTGAAATTTGCATTCCTTGTGTTGTAAGAGTTGATTTGTTGTAATCCTCCTTACATTTTGACAAGGAACCTATGGTATTAAGTTGTCAAGGAGCCAGCATTTCTCTTCTTCCATCTTAATCCATGTCATTTTCAACAAGAAACTTTGAGTAATAGTAAGATTAGTTATGAATAAGTAATTAAGTATATTTTTACATAGCTTGTTTTGCTATGGTATCTTTAAACTCGAACATTTTCTAGGAGCAAATTTTTTTTTAAAGCTAACATGATGCTGAAAAGGGTTATTGTCATCACTTTGTGACTGTCATCCTTCATAAACTTTTTCTCTAAATTTCAAAAATTCTTCCCTGCTGACTCCATGGGGCTATTGAAAGAAATTACGATCACAAACATTTTTTTTATATTTTCTTGTTTTTAGTACTTATGTGTAGTATGAAAAATCTAACAAAATAAACAACATATATCAGTTCTTTTTATTACTGTATTAAATTTCAAAACACTTTTAAAAGTTGAAAGTTATTATACACTGTTAGATTGGAAAAGCTAAAAGTGGAATAAGAACTATCAGTATGATAAAAATCAATCCACTGTATTTTGATATGACACTGTAATGGCTCAATCAAAAGTACCAATGTTACTACCATATGTAAACCACTGTGTAGAAAGTGTGGCCATCTTTTAACCCTTAGGTTCCCCTGTCACACTTAAGCTAACTATCAGAGACATAATTGAATGAGTTAAAAATGGGGGGATTTGTAGAACAAGAAAAGCCTAAGATATGTCATGGGTTTAAGTAAGGTGTCACTCATGTCCTTCAGTTGACATTCACAAGCTAACTCAAGTCTGATTCTTATTTTATTTTGCTACTAGTTTCATTAAAGTCTTTGTCATTTTTCATGTTATTAACATCACAACTGCCGATCTTAAGTTGTAATTAAGGCTTAGAATTTCTAAGAAAATGATGAATTAGGATTTTTGTTTTTCCATCATTTTTCAGCTCGTTATCAGGCGATCTTGACAGTACAGGGGTTGTATTCATGAAAGCTTAAGACTTAAGGTTGAAAATTAAAGTATAGATCAATTTGACTATGTCAGGGCACAAGGAAAAGTTTAATTAAACATTTACTGGTGAAGTATGATATATAGTCTCGAAGGCTACTTTTGTCCTGTAAAGTAGAAAGAATTCAATGATTTAGTATAGCAGATGTTCTTAATCTTATATGCTTTTAAAGCACATTTTAAAATGTTTAACCATAAATTGAAGATTTTATCTGATGAAAAGGTATTGATGAAAATGTATAAGGATTATCACCATGAAATTTGACAGATAACATGTTCGTCAAGGTATATTATCAACTTTTATTTTTCAGGTGAAATTATTATTTTGAGGTTGTTTTTGTGGTTTTTACAAAATGCATAAATCATTTAAAATCATAATAGGGCCAAGACACAATACCATTCTTTCGGTTTATTTTTTTTATATAATTCGTTGAAAAGTGTTCTTAGAATAATAAAAAGCTTGTAATATTTTGTATAGTTAGATCTTTTATCTATAATTGGTATATTTTATATTTCAGGTTCCTGATAACTTTAGAATGGTTGTACAAGCCACATATAGAGAATTTTTCAAATCTGTAATGGCCAACAAAGACACAGAACCATCATGGAAGAAAGCCATCTACAAAGTGATAGCTAGGATGGACGATGTCCTCCCAGAATACTTCAAATCACCTAACTGGATGGACCAGCTAGGAGATATGTGATTTTTTTAATTTAATAAAGATGGTGTATAAAGCCCAAGTTCACAAAAGTCTATACTTATATATTAACTTCTGACCTGGTGAAGGTTATATGCGTAGGAGATGAACGGAATGACATATACTTCAATAAAAAGACATGAAAATTGTCCTTGGTGATATTGTTATTATTACATGTACACTAAAAGGAAGTTTATAATTTATGATATTTTAGATATATTATCTATTAAGCTCAATAAGTGCAGAGAAAAGGAAGCCATTATTATTGTGCTTGACATTATAATTGGTAGTTGTTTTTTACAACAGTATTTCTATCATTATTGTATATGATTATTTTATGAAGATGTCATTGAATGGTCAGAGAAAGTAAGAAAAACTGAAAAGAAAGAGGAATGTTTAATGACAGCCGAATGTCAAAGAATTAAAATCAAAATCAGCTGTTGCCGGTTCCAAGAAAAGATTTTTCATCCCTGAGAAAGATTTATGATTTATTTCTTAAAATTAAAAAGAAATATAGTTTGACTTACTTTCAGACCTGTGGGTTGTGTTCAGATACTTGTTAGTCAGTTAAGGTGCAATTATTTATTTTTTTGTTGTTTTATCTTTATACCAGGTGTACTAATTAAAATATTTTGTTAATTAGTTTTTGTCTTTGTTGAGATTACTGTCATTATTTATTTCTTTATTTCCATTTTCACCTGCATGGTATCTTATTGTTTGATACACGATCTTGCATAATTTTACCTGTCAATTTATATGTCCATTAACATTAATTCAGTATTTTTTGTTCGCCATTTGTCCACATTTGTTTTAGGATTTTCTTCGTTTTAAATAGTTATTATTGACAATTTTTTTATTGCACCAACATGCAGTAAATATACATGTGTCTGAACAAGGATTTGTATCACTATACAAATCCTTGGTCTGAAGAAGATATTTTTTTGTGGTCATTGGGACAAATATTTTGCATGAATAATGTACATAAAACAGAGGATGTAACTTTTATAAATTTTACCATTTTGTATTTTTTTATTGTTATGTTATTTCTAGTAATAAAAGTTTTCAAAATTCCAACTGGGAGCAATAGACAAATTAGCCCCAGGTTCCAGACCATTCAGACCCACACTATTGATTCCATAAGTTTTGCTACTTTTCATTCCATTATTTACGTTCCAGAAATGCTCAGTTGTGAATATCTAGTCATGTTTTACATTATTTGTTTGTTGATTTGTTGAATTCCAAGACCATATACTTGTTTGTCCAGTATTTCTTTTCTTTTTTTGTTTGTTGAGGTATATTGTTACAGAAACAATTAACCTGGACGTTTTGTACAGTCATTTTATCTTTTTAAACAGAAATACATATTGAAACAATAGGCTCTTTTATGGATACTCATGATAACCCAAAAATAAGAATGAAGGGGAATCTATAGTTTTCTATTTTCTGTATATCACAGTTTGGAAGTTTGTGAGCTACAGATATAAACACAGAAATGTATAAACTTAATGACACATTGATTTTCTTAGGGAAAGTGTTAATTTGAATAATCAACCACTCAGTGTCTTGGAAGTGAAGGTGTAATTTATTTACCCTATATATGGTGTTTGACATTTGTGTGAGTTTTATAACTCTCTACTGGAGTCCTAATGAAACATTTGTCATGGAAGATTAACTGTCTGTTTAAAATTAATTAGTAGAAAATTATTACATGTTTTCTTCAAGACCTCCCTTGGAGAAAAGTTACCTATCCAATTACAACACCAACAGACAGTATGGAGGTAGTGCCACTTAGCCAATCATATGACTTGTAAACAATATGTAGGTGCTGCCACCTGTTACAGCTGAAAAGTATAAATGTTTTTTTCTCTGCTGACAAGTAAATGTAGCTCTCCAAAAATTGACATATTGTTTCTGATAGGTGACATCTTGTGTTAGGCCATTTTTATTTCTTAATTATTAAGTAAAGTAGTTTATGTCAATAAATTGCTGTTCAAAATTTATTAACAATTGATTACAATGTGTCTCTTTTATTGATGGGAAATAATTAGGTTTTAAAAGATTGTTATTAAGTTATTTAAAAATCAAAAGAACAAATTTGAATTAAGTTACGGTCTTTAATGGCAGATGTGAAATATGTTATTTTGAATGTGTTTACTCACGTAAAGTGCTTTTGTCCATTCTAGTAGGCCCTCAAATAAAATACAGTTTCATTTTGTCAATTCTCAATGATCTCTTAAATTTTATTATGATAGTCGTATATGTTTTCCTCTGTTGAATTCCACACATTTTTGATAGAAAGTTGTCATTTACAATCAGTTTTTGATATTAAGACTTTGTTTTTGTGCAATATATATACTAACAACAGTCAATGTCTCAGAATTGTGCAATATAAATTAATTGGTGGTAGTTGGTCATTAATTTAACTTGATATATCTGATGTTATATAACCTTACATGATAATTTTTTTTGTAATTATAGTAAAATTTATAATTAGAATAAAGGGAAAAGTGATTTTTTCAAGTTATTGTTTTTTGTCTTTTTACATATAATTCAGTTGATTACTTTTACATGAATGAAATTCTGAAATTGATAGAATAATAAGTTTAATGAATGAAAATAGTTAGTTAGAAGCAAGGAGAAAATAATTTTCTTCAACTAATCTATAAATGCTGAGAAAAGATGGTAAATTAACATAAAATAAGTTTAATGAAAATTTCTGGTAAATATTTTCAGCATATTTTACTTGTGGGTGAACAATACTTCCACTTGAAACACATGTACATGATTATTTATTGACAAAAATGCTTTAATATGAGACAAAATACATAATGATTTTGTTTTTGTATCTTTTAAAACCAGTTTTCTTTTGATTATTACATGTCATTACCTTTGATGTATGTGTAAAGGATCTTTCAGGATTAATATGATATTATTTGATGTCTTGTATATATAACGTTTTTTGTCCAGATATTTTGTTAAGTATTTTGTGCTTGATCTAAACCAATCCAAGTTAATCTTCAACCAATTTTATGACATTCCTTCATATATAATACAAGATTGTTAAAGATGTTATAGATATGATGACATATTTTTCCATTTCTGTAAGCAATTCTTTAGAATAGAAGAATAAAATTAATGAAATGAGAAAGATGTTAGTTTATTTTTCTCTGAAAAGATATCTGAAAATTGTGAAAATATGAATGCTATTGGTGCCCAATGTACCAGTAATCAGATGTAAAAAAAATACACAAGTGAAACCCTACTCTTATATTTATTTTCTTATACAGGACATTTGTAAAATCTTTTTTTTTTAGCCCAGATGCAATTTTAATACCACCACATTCTTTATGTGTCTGTCCAAAGCCAGAAGCCTGTAATCGGATGATGGTCATTGGTTATGGTCTGCCATAATTGTTTTTCATCTATTCTGGTATAATTCAGGCCATTGGTTTTCTCTTTTGAATGGTTTCACATTTTGTCATCCAAGAGACTTATAGCTTACTTTTTGATCATCATTGAATGCTGTATGGTTACCTGTAGTTGTTCAAATCTTTGTCCTTTGTCTTTTATGAATAATAATTGCATTGGCAATTATACTACATCTCATTATTTTTAGATCTGACTGCAATGTAAAGACAGAGACATAATAGATTTGAAACGAACACAATCTTCATGATAAGTGCAATAGATAACAAAAAAAGTAAGAAGATACCATAAAAGAGAGGCGAAAGGTACCAAAGATATATTCAAACTCATAAGTCGAAAACAAGCTGACATTGCCAAAATACAAACAACAGTACACAAAACACAACATAGAAAACTAAAGACTGAGCATCACAAACCCAAACAAAAACTGGGGGCGATCTTAGATGCTCCCTCTAGAAGGATAAGCAGACCCTACTCAACATGTGGCACCTGTTGTGCTGCTCATGCAAGTACAAACTCGATGACAAGTCTTAAATTGAGGAAAGATAGCCATATAGCTTGGTCAAAAGACGAAAAATAAAAAAGCAAAGAAATGTCAACAAAACACTGCACATAAACCCTAAAGATAGAGCAACACCAACTCAACTAAATACACAAAATTGGGGGTTTGAACTCGTGTACTCTCATATTTTTCTCCATTAATTGCAACACGTTTCATGTTTCGCTATAAGCAATCAGTTTGGTTCAATTTCGTGAAAATAAGATAAAAAAGCATCTGATGCATTATTGGCTTGCAAGTCAATAATTCAACTTATTTGAATCCGTATTCATGCAACCTTTGATTTGACCTCTAGTGGAGATTGGTTTCGCATGTGTTCAGAATGTGGTCAGCATGTTCATTCATTAAAACCGTAAAAGAATGTCAATATTGAAAAGTGAAACAAGGGATACACCAGGAATAACAATTTTGTTTCTTGATCTGTCCCATGAAAATCGGTTCTTATACAGGTAAAACGATGATTTACATATATTTTCAACATATAGCATGAAAGCAAACAGACCTAGAAAAATCGTCATTATACGATTGCACGTGCTTGACTTTATTCATATTTATGTTTACATGGGTTTATATGAACGTCGGCCGTCTTCGGAGGTCATCTCGATGGATAACAAGATGACAGCTAGTCTTAACTACGCACGAAATGCAGATACATTACAGCGAGTCGATGTATTGGTAATTATTTCTGTTAGACATTATCATTTGGATATTATTTTAGTTTGTTATAAATCAAATATGAGAATTTAGGTCAAATCGGTGAACATGAATGCGACAGCTAATGCCTTTAAGGTAACATGAGTAGAGATTTGGGCTAGTTGATAAAGGTCTGAAAAATGAGTATGTCTCAAGCTGTCAAACTGAATGAAAAACTTGACCAAATTGTCCATATTTTGAGTTAGAGATGATTAAGTTTTCTATAAATTTGATATTATTTTGTCCAAAAATTATTGTACCCTGGGACTATTATACTAAGTTAGTATAATAGTCCCAGTTGTACCACACTTTAAAAACCTTATTGAGAAAGCGCAAGTGCGATTTTTTTTTATTTGCATTAATTGATTTAAAGAAATGCAAGTTACAAAATAACTGTTCTCGAGCCCAAGATGTCTTAGTGGTATTCTTTATTATTTGAAAGTTTCGTGGACAACTGTTTGTCGTGTGGTGTCGTTTTTTGTTTTGTTTTTCATTGTTTTCTTTTTTTCTTTGTTTTCTGGTCATGACGTCGTCTGTCCTTTTTATTATTATTTTTTCTTAGATTTTCGTAATATTATCATTATACTTTCAGCTATGAAAGAAAACTACAAATTTATATTACAGATAGCAGCGAATATTACAAATGTTCTAAACTGATGGTTGTCTATAAAAATATTTAAGCTCATATTAAGTTTCTTGTTTTTGTAGCAAAATGCAAATATCATCTGCAAATCACCTGCATGTCCAATCTTGGGCACCATCACAATTTTTACACCTTGAGCACAATTGATCTTGAA